GCCGCCATATGCATACTATTTCTCCTGTTAATCTGTCCTTTGTCAGGATATTTTGTAGATCTCAGCTGCAGAACCAAAGAGGGTAGAGGAATTTTTTTTCCTTCCCTACTACCTACTTTCAAAAATTTTAAGCAGAAGTTAAATGCTATAACACCCTCACTGATGTTCCACTAATCAAACCCAGCAAACATAGATTTACCCAAGAAAGGTATTAATTTTAGGTAAACAGCATACTTAACACTTCTATTGTCAAGAAGAAATTTTAAGTCACTAGCATAATGGAGCAAATTATGCATGCCACTCTTCCTTTCTGCCTTACTGAGCTACTTTTGCAAATCAACAAAAATAGAGAGTGCCCTAGCCAGTTTGATTCCAGTCAAGGACACATACTTTGGTTGCAGGTTCCTTCCCAGCCCGGGCCCTGGTTGTGGCTTGTGCCAGAGGCAACCAATAGACGTGTTTCTCTCACATCAATGTTTCTCTCTGTCTTTCCCTCTCTCTTCTACTCTCCCTAAAAATCAATGGAAAAAGATATCCTTGGGTGAGGATTAACAAAAAAACAAGATAAAACAACAATAAAAAAACAAAACAAAACAGAGAGCATAACATCCAGAATCCTAGCCTTGACATGAGCAATGAGGAGGTGAGTGATTTTGCGTGTGTCACTGTCATTGTTGGCTTAACTGTACAACAGATACTTTCAGGTATTCTATTTTACGGGGATTCTAAGAAGACAAGAGTGAGAATGTAGTGCAAAAGAGAACGTTATCACTATCACAAGAAAAAGAACACACACATCAGGAAAATAAACTCCATTGTGCTTACTGTGCCTCACGGCAGCTAGCACTAAATCAAAGACAACAAGTGATACCAAACTCCAAAGGTATATGAACTAGAATAGAGGCTTTTTAAAACTGTCCCAATAGAATGACAGAAGTGAAAGAAGCCCCAAACAAACTTTTCCTGAAAACAACGGATAGAAATGATACTCGGCTATGCCAGGAAAAAAACCCTTAGTACTCCAGGGGGTCATTATATTTTGTGTTAAAGAACTACCATGTTCCTCATTTAAAAGGCCTTATGTTCAAACAAGGTTGGGGGTTACATAGGATTTTTTTGGGGGGGCCTGGATGGAAGTAGTTAAAAATCTTTAAGTAGGATTGTTGAAATAAGCATAACACAAGATGGTACAAATAGTCCCTGTTTTTTTAATAATAACCAATAACTGGAAACTTTACGGTGAATTAAACTAATAAAAGCAAACCCTTTTCCCTAAAGCAAAGCAGTTAAAAATTTCTCCACTACATTAGTCAATGAAGGTTATCTGGAGGAAGTAGGCCTTGAAGAATAGGCAAGCTTGGAAAAAAAAGAGATTGCAGGCATTCAGATAAGGGGAATAGGAATAAAGGCACAGAAGCAGGAATTCAACACTGATTCAGGCCTACCACAGTTAGCCATGGGTTTAGGGTCCAAGGATACTAAGATCTGTGAAGTACAGTTCTTTGCTTTAAATCAGCCCAGAGCCTAGCCAGTGATACAAACTGCCAAGAAAGACATGATGATATTAATGTCAAAGTACTTATGATGTACTGTTAGAACACAAATGAGAAACAATTCTGCCTGCTTGAATCAGGGAAAATAAAAAGAGGTAATATATTTGAGCTGAATCTTGAAGGCTAAGTAGGGCTTTGCCCTATGACTAAAGGGGATAGGAAGGGCATTCCCGGCAAATCAAACAGCATGGACAAAGATGTAAAAGTGAGTGGTTAAGGGACAGACTTAGATCCAGCAAGGCAAATAGGATACATAAGCACTAGGGAATTAGAACTGAGTTAAAAAGGTAAGATGAGGCAAAATCAGGAAGGACCTTATTCTGTAGGTTACAAGGAGCCATCAGAAGATTTTATACCACACAGTAGCATAGTTAAATCTGTATTTTGAAAAAAAACCCCAAAACTCGAGGCAATGTAGAAAATGAATTGGGTAGAGACCAGAGGCTACAGCAAACATTTAAATGAGTGTCATGGGCCTAGATGATGTGAATGGCAATGGGAAATGAGGGGACAGATTCCATGGGCATTTGTAGATGAGGGAGAGTGGATGGGAATTTGTAGCTACTTTGATATGTAGAGTGTTTCTGACTGAGTTAAAAAGATAACTTATGAATGTTGATGCCATTCAAGAAGGTTCAAAAGAGAGGAGCAGAGTTGTGTGTAGATAATTTTTGTATATAAAAGGTTAATATGCAAAGTGTCCCCTCGGGAGTTTGACCTGGAGACCAGGAGTTCGATCGCTCACTATGATGTGCGCAGACCACTAGGGGGTGGCATGGAATGAAGGAAGGCCGTGGTCGGCAGCTGGCAGCCGAGGAAGGAAGGCCCCAGCCAGCAGCTGGAAGGCCCTGATTGGCCCTGACTGCTGGCCAGGCCTAGGGACCCTACCCATGTGCAAATTTCGTGCACCAGGCTGCTAGTTAAAATATATTGGCGAATGACTATTAACATCTATCCAGTTACACAAGCCTGACACCTGGGAATCATCCTAGGCTACTCACTTACTAGGTAGTTGTCACCACGCCCTAGAGATCCCACTTCTTTCACATCTCTTAAATTCAGCTCATCTTTATGGTTTCTAGGTCCACTGCTATCATAATCTATCATAATTGAAGTTCCCATTTCTCTCCTGGATTAATAGCCTCTTAAGTGGTCTCCCTATACTGCAACCCCCATCTAATCTATCCTTTATAGTACTACCACAATTTTCTTTCTAAAACAAAAATCTGAACATTTTAATTAAACTCCTAATTGAAACCCCTCAAAGTGTCTTTCTCCCCCAGTAGCTTGCAGGACACAGCTGAAATGTCTTGGATTAATATAAAAGGCCATTTAAAATTCCAATCCCGCCTACTTCCCCTACAACTCTCACCATGTACCCTTTGCTTCTGCCACATGGAATTTCTTGAAGTACTTTTAACATGCCATGCTGTTTCAGCCTCCATGCCTTTACACTTGCTATCTGCTCTGAAATGCTCCTTCCTTCCTTCACTCATAGTTAACACCTAGTTCAAACATCAAAGCCTCCAGGAAGCTTGTCCTAACACCCTGATTCACAGGCTAAATTCCTATACTTGGGTAGTACCTTCTATAGCATATTACCATCCAATACTGTAACTGTGGCTATATCTATTTCACTGATCAGCAAGGTCCTTTCGGCCACAGAATATGTCTCATTTGATTTTGCAGAATCTTTTTTCCCCCTGTTTGTTAATTCTCACCTGAGAATATTTTTTCATTGATTTTTAGAAAGAGTGGAAGGGAGGGGGAGAGACAGAGAGAGAGAAATGTTGATGTGAGAGACACATCGATTGGTTGCCTCCCAGCACGTGCCTGACCAGGGCTGGGGATTGAGCCTGCAACCCAATTATGTGCCCTTGACTGAAATCAAACCTGGGACTCTTCAGTCCAGAGGCTGACGTTCTATTCACTGAGCCAAACCGGCTGGGGTGATTTTGCAGAATCTATTAGTGGTGTCTGGCACAGGGACCAAGCACTCAGAAAATATTTGTTGAGGGAGTTGTTTTAGACCTATTAATTGATGTGCTTGAAGAAAAAAAAATATATATATATATGTTGTTATGTGAAAGGGGCAGCATGCACAATAAGATTTAATTCTTTTGTTGTTATTGTTAATCCTCACCTGAGGGTACTTTTCCATTGATTTTTTGAAAGAGTAGAAGGGGGGTGGGGAGAGAGAGAGAGAGAGAGGGGAATCATTGATTGGCTGCCTCCTACTGGGGATCGAGCAGAGAGAGAGAGAAGAGAGATACATCGATTGCACCTCAACCAGGGCTGGGGACTAAGCCTGCAACCAAGGTATGTGCCTTTGACTGGAATCAAACCCAGGACCCTTAAGTCTGTAGGCTGACACTCTATCCAGTGAGCCAAACCCGCTAGAGCAAGACCTAATTCTTGTTTTAAAAACATAAAGCTATTAAAAGGAAATGAGAATTATGGAGCTAAAGCCAGTTTAGGATTGGAGGCAGTGAGTGAGTAAGTCAATTGAGAATGGCCAAGGACAGAACCCTGAGAAACAGCAGGGGTTGAAGAGGAAGAGACAGCAGGGATATAGGAAGAGAACAAGGAAAAATAGAACCACTGAAAGCTGAGAACTATATCTTTAAAGTAGGAAAAAATTCATGTCAAATGCTACAGAGCCAGTGAAACTCCAGGAGAATACGGTTGAGCAGGTGAACATTTTAGGTTCTCTTTGTTTATATCACATTTGCCTAGATCAATACACAAGAAGCACAGGGGACAGCTTAGAATAATAATTTATGTTTTAGGTTTAAAACTGGTCGCCGAAACCGGTTTGGCTCAGTGGATAGAGCGTCAGCCTGCGAACTGAAAGGTCCCAGGTTCAATTCTGGTCAAGGGCATGTACCTGGGTTGCAGGCACATCCCCAGTAGGGGGTGTGCAGGAGGCAGCTGATCGATGTTTCTCTCTCATCGATGTTTCTGACTCTCTATCTCTCTCCCTTCCTCTCTGTAAAAAATCAATAAAATATATTTTTTTAAAAAATTGGTTATATTTAATCTTACAGCTGAGATAAAATAAAAATCTTTTAGATATTTTACACTACCTAAAACTATGATAAAGCATTTGTTAAGCCAAGAAGATGGTAAAATTAAAATATTTTAGTATCTTTTTTCTTTCCTTAATTACCTCTTATCCAAGTATCCATTATTATTTCTTAAAACACCTAACATGGATTAGAGGGGATGGGATTTTGCTTTTTTCAAGTTTACATTAGTAGTTTGGTAGCTTGAGTTAATATTCACTGTCTGACAATCTTTAAACATCACACTTTTTCATTTACCAATTCTAACAGAAGAAACTCTGCCAACATCTTAATTTTAATTAAGTGCTTTCATGCAATTGTAATTTCTGATAAATAAGAAGGTACTTAAAAAAAGGCGAAAGAAAACAATAAAGTACTTATGGAAAACAAATCAAACAATAGTTAAGTATAAAATAACAAGCATACCCCTGTATCTGTATCAGATTTTGATGAATTTAGACTTTCCTGAGAAGGTGATGGGGACACACGTCCTGAAAAACAACATAATTGTAAAAAGGCATGTACATACACACGTACACACAATCAGAAATAATGACCCAGAAACACCTAATTAATGGTCATAGAATGTAACATTCTAGAAAACTACATGCGAAGCATTAACTCTTTGGGCACCACAATATTTGTTTTGATTATTTTTCCATAAAATCTTTATGAAATAGATGAACCATTTCCCCAATTTAATAAAGTACTGTTAAATTCTCATTATTCATAGTGAATACATTCTTATCAATCATAACAAGCAATAAAATGAACAATTAAGGGGCAGAAAGGGTCTAGGCTGGGGTAAGTTTGAAGGGCCACTAAAAATAGTTATTTTGTTCCAGGCAGGGCAATAAAAGAAATATATAGGAAACATTATTTACTATATTGTCAATTCATTATCATCTTCAATTATGTATTATGTATTATAACATAAATGCATAATTGAGAGAATGGAAAGGAGGGCATATACACAGGGCTCCTAAAGTATACAGGGAGCCGAAGCCGGTTTGGCTCGGTGGATAGAGCGTCAGCCTGCGGACTGAAAGGTCCCAGGTTCAATTCCGGTCAAGGGCATGTACCTTGGTTGCGGGCATATCCCCTGTAGGAGATGTACAGGAGGCAGCTGATCGATGTTTCTAACTCTCTATCTCTCTCCCTTCCTCTCTGTAAAAAATCAATAAAATATATTAAAAAAAAAGTATACAGGGCCTTGCTTGCCAGTTTAGTGCATCTTCCTAGATTTCAATGTTCTTCAAATTGCTGCTTCCACTATATTCTCCTATCTCCCATTCCTTAACTTCTTGTTTTCCAGCTTTGGGATGGGAAGGTGGTGTAGGGAGGGAGGGGTTTGTGGAGAAAATTTATTGCAGTTAAATAATTATAAGAAGCCGAAACCGGTTTGGCTCAGTGGATAGAGCGTCGGCCTGCGGACTGAAGGGGCCCAGGGTCGATTCCGGTCAAGGGCATGTACCTGGATTGCGGGCAGATTCCCAGTGGGAGATGTGCAGGAGGCAGCTGATCGATGTTTCTCTCTCATCGATGTTTCTAACTCTCTATCTCTCTCCCTTCCTCTCTGTAAAAAAATCAATAAAATAAGAATCCCCCAAACTCAAAGCACCTATTTATATCAACTTTATATACTTTCCTGATAACGTACCATAATATGTAAATATTGTAATCATTGTGTACATACACCATGTTCTGAGGTTTCTTTACCATGTAACTTTTTTTCACATACTCTTTGATGAACTGACAAATCACATTTACTTTCTATGTTTCCTTAATCATTCTTTATTTACTGGATGTATATATTATTCTAATTCTCCTAGATAAATCAGAATTTCACTTTAACCTTGGATAAAAATGAAGACTGCCAAGGGAAACCAAATGACTTTGTTGTCATTAGTTGATGAAGTTACACCTGAAAGTCAAATGCTTCGTGGTAGCTTTTTTCACTGAGTTTAGATGTTTTTTTGTTTGTTTGTTTTCTTTCTTTCTTTTTTTTTGCTGTTGTCTTCTGTTTTACTTTTAGGTTTGTGGCTGAAAGTAGTGGTTGCTGCAAATGATTACCAGATAAACAGGCATTATTATGCCTAAAATGTGAAAATGCCAGGTGTCTTTGGATTTTTTAAAGCCCACAAATAAGTGAAAAATACCTTCAGTATTGTATTTCATTCGCATATTGTTGAAATAGTCAAAAGCATTTTTTAAAGCCCATATTCTCACTACATTGTCCTGTCCAGCTGAGGCAAGTAATCGGCCACAGTGAGAAAATTTCATGGTCCAAACAGCTCCCTATTAAAACAATGGAAGGTTTAAAGTTATTTTAAAAACTGAAACAATAAAAAATCATGCCAAATGATATATAATACATTACTAACACCACTTAAATCCAACAGTCCAATGATGCTACAATACCACAAAGAGGGACTTTTCAAAGAAAGGCAAGATAACATAGTTATAGTTTGCCATAATGTAAACTAACAATTTCAAGATCCCAAATCATGTCCATATATTAATGGAAATGGGAGTTCTGCAGTGGCTGGAAATCTTCAATGTTAAGCACGAATCTTAGCTTTGGATCTCAGTTTCCTAGCTGACCATAAGGGGGAGTAGGTTAGGAGGAGGCAGGGCCTTTAGCATAGCACCAACTCCTAACTAAGGCTGAGGGAAGAATATGCCCACCTTAGCAGTGACCCTCATTGTATTGGGCATTTGAAGAAATGTTGGAATGGTGTGGTTTCCTCCTGTTTTTCTCCCAAGAAATAAGGGAATTCCCCAGCAGATAATGAAAACTGTGTGTGTGGGGGTGGGGTGGTGGGGGGAGACAGAGAGAGAGAGAGAGAGAGAGAGAGAGAGAGAGAGAGAGAGTGAGTTGGGGGAGGGTTAAAGAATGTAAGCACTTAAATTGGAAAGGCTAAAACCTACTACAACAAATACTGTTATAACTACTACTAGAGGCCCGGTGCATGGATTTATGCACTGGTGGTGTCCTTTGGCCTGGCCTTGGTGGGTTAAGGTCAAAACTGGCTCTCTGTCATCCCCCAAGGGGTCCCTCCCAAATTGAGAGAGGGTGCAGGCCTGGCTGAGGGATCCCACCAGTGCACGATCAGGGCTGGGGAGGGACTGTGGGAGGGCTCCAGAGCATGTCTGGCCCAACTTGCCCAGTCACGATAAGCCAGACCCCAGCAGCAAGTTAACCTACTAGTTAAAGCATCTGCCCTCTGGTGGTCAGTGTGCATCATAGCCACTGATGAAATGGTCAAATCGTCAGAGGGTCACTTAGCATATTAGGCTTTTATATATATATATTACAACACACATCTATGCAGATCTAAAAGATTATCCAAGTTAGAGGCAACAGCTCATTTACTGGAATAGTAGTCATTTCCACAAAATTCAAGTATGTTAAGAAATTTGTTATTTGGAGCTTACTCCTATGAGATTTTACTTAAAACTATAAATACAGTACAAGGAAATTCATCAGATGCCTTAAGGAAGTTTCTATAATCAACTTTCAAATATTTTATAACTAGATTATAAACACCAAGGTTTAAATTCCAATCTGGCTGACATTTGATATTTATTTGTGGTTGCTTCCTTCTAGTTAGGCCAACTGTTATATATAAAATCTAACTAGATCTGGAGATTATTATGCTAAGTGAAATGAGCCAGTTGGTGAAAGACAAATATATGATCTCATTTATACGTGGAATCTAATGAACCAAATAAACTGATGAACAAATCAGAAACAGAGGCATGGATACATAGAACAGACTGAGAGCTGTCCGAGGGGAAGAGGGAGGAGCCTTGATGAAAGAAGGTGAAAGGATTAGTCAAAAAACATAAATGCATAACCCACTGACACACACAACATTGTGGTGATAGTCAGAGGGAAGGGGGGGGGGGTCAAGGTGGGCAAAGGGGTGGATGGAGACATCTGTAACAGTGTAAACAATAAAAACGAAGTAAAAAAATCTAAATAGATAAATGCATTCCCTGATCAAGGACCCACAGTATCATTTACCTAGTTTTGAATTCATTACTTCCTTTTCTATATTCCTAGCATTTTCAGAGGCAATATAATTTGTATACTTTATATCTACTTTGGTACATTTTAACTCTGATAGATAGAGAATTTGTATTGCTACCTCTCTCTGTGTTTTAGCTGTCGCACTACAAAATATATTGAGATTTAGAAATAGTTGTGTAAGTATTCAAATATAATGGGGAACATTTTAAACATTTTTCAAAGTGATAGACTATCCTCTAATTTAACTGTTTTAAAGTTTGGTACTTTTATATAGCTTTCTTAATAATATAGGACTAGTTTCTATTTAATTCAATAACTCCTTGAAAAATAATTCAGAGATAGACTCTATTAAATTGTATTAATATCATTTCACTCTTCTTGAGTAAAGATAGCAAATTACATACACAAGAATAGATCTGCTTTACAGATGCTCAAGTATTTCCATGAAAACAGAATCAATAATGAAAAATAAAAAAGTTGCTTACCATATGTTCACCACTAAGATCTTGTACCACTTTTATCTGATCAAAATCATAAGGTCCTTTGAAACCATGTGCTGCTTTGAATTTGACTGGTCTTGTGTATGGCATTCCTTCATCATCACTTGATGAAGGATCATCTTGATCAGTATGAAACACTAAATAGAAAAGTAACAGAAATCATCACTAGCTATGTAGATATAACTATTATATTTCATATCCACTGCTTACTGAGAAAATTCATTAAATGGAGAAGCTAAATCTGTCTATTACTAAATAGCATATTGCCTAAGAGCATACATGGAGTCTAGTGCCAGATTGCCTGGGTCCAAATCCAACTCTTATCAATTATTATCTGTGTGACCTTAGGCAAGGTACCCAACTTTTCTGTGCTTCAGTATTCGCATCTATAAAATGGGGATACTAGTGGTACTTACCTCAAAGGGTTTTGATGAGGATTAAATGTGTTAATACAGGTGAAAGTGCTCAGAACAGTGTCTGGCACAGAATAAGTGTTTATTATACAAAACAAATGAGTACAATTATGAGAAGCGCATAGGAAATTAAGATCTGCACAAAATTAGAAAATTTACGTAAATTTGAGAACGTTTATAAAAAATAAATACTCTTACATAACTAATTTACAACTGATTCCTGAAATGTTGAAATGTTCTATTTCACTTACCTTCATCTCTAACACTTTTAACTTTATTTACAGCACGTTCACCATATTCCTCAGCAAGGTGCTTTGCTCTCTTCACTGATTTTCCTAGGAACTTCTTCAGTTGAGTCCTTACCAAAACAAAAGCAAAAAACAAAAAACAAAAACAAAAAAACCCCACCAAAATTATTTTTTTATAAATTCAGCCAATTATAAAAATTCAATAATTCACTGATAATCTCATTAGCTGTGACTAGTAACGCATATTATTTTGAAGGAACTCTTTTTTTTAAATAAATAGGTCTTTGAGTTCCTAAATCCTTTGTTGTATAGAATACAGGGTGGGGCAAAAGTAGGTTTAAAGTTGTTCTTATGGAAAGCAATATAGTAATCTACATAAAATAGGTCCTCGGGTTACCAACGGAGATCCTTTTCTACAGCGGAAGTAATGTGGTTTTCACCGTAAGTCAGAACCTACCTATATAAGCACCTATGTCACTCACATGGAGCACATACACAACAGTAATGAAGTGAAACCGTAAAAAAAATTTAAAGGAAAGAGCAATTCCTGACCTTTACTTGTGGTAAATAAATAATAAAAAACATAAAGCACATATGTACATACGTCGAAATGACGGAACTTTAAAAAAATAATACTGTAAATGGGAAATGGCGACGGTAGCCATGAAACTGAAACGAGGTCAGAGTCCAATGTAACCTGAGGACTGCCTGTATATAAAAGCCTAAGCGACCAAATGACCAAACAACTGGTTGACCAGTTGCTATGACGTGCACTGACTACCAGGGGGCAGACGCTCAATGCAGGAGTTGCCTCCTGGTGGTCAGTGCACTCCCACAGCCAACCTCTCACAGTTGGCCAACCTCCTGCAGCCCCTCCCCACCATGGACCCTCACCCCACCACCCTCTTGTGGCCCTGATCGGCCCCCATTGCCGCCAGGCTGAGGGATCCCACCTGTGCACGAATTCATGATATAGCTACAAAGGAAATATAGGCACTTCTCCCAATATACAATACTAGTGGACCGGTGCACGAAATTTGTGCGGAGGGTGGGGGGGGGAGAATGTCCCTCAACTCAGTCTTCACCCTCTCCAATCTGGGACCTCTCGCAATCTGGGACTGCTGGCTCCTAACTGCTCACCTACCTGCCTGCCTGATCTCCCCTAAAAACTCTGCCTGTTGGCCTGCTCACCCCCAACTGCCCCCCCCGGCTGGCCTCATGGCCACCCCACTGCCAGCTTGCTCGCCCCCAGCTCCCCCCACTGCTGGCCTGATCATCCCCAATTGCCCTCCCCTCCCCCAACTGCCCTACCCGCCTGGCTTAATCACCCCTAACTTCCTCTGCCTTGGCTCCGCTACCATGGCTTTGTCCGGAAGGATGTCCGGAAGGTCACCCAGTCTAATTAGCATATTAGCGCTTTATTAGTATAGACCAGGGGTGGGCAAACTTTTTGACTCGAGGGCCACAATGGGTTCTTAAACTGGACCGAAGTGGTTCTTAAACTGGACCGGAGGGCCGCAACAAAAGCATGGATGGAGTATTTGTGTGAACTAATATAAATTCAAAGTAAACATCATTACATAAAAGGGTACGGTCTTTTCTTTTTTTTTTTTTTTTAGTTTTATTCATTTCAAACGGGTGAGATCCGGCCTGGGCTGTAGTTTACCCATGGCTGGTATAGACTGTATACTCTAAAGCAGGGGTGAGGAACCTTTTTTCTGCCAAGGACTATTTGGATATTTATGACATCATAGAGGGCCATACAAAATTATCATCTTAAAAATTAGCTTGCCATATTTGATCAAACATTTAATTAACTCACCCTTAATGCCTCAGCAGGGCCAGACCAAATGATTTTGGGGGCCTTGTATGGCCCTTGGGCTGGGGTTCCCCACCTCTGCTCTAAAGCAGAGGTTTTCAATAGTGAATTATAATAAGTTGGTGAATATGGGGGTGTTTAAAGCACAGACACATGTTCCCCATCTCCAGATAATCTGATTTGGAAGGTATAGGGTGAGGCCATGAATCTGCAATGAGAATTGCTCTGAGAAGACTGCCTTAGAGAGCCATCTTAAAAAACACACTTTACCGCCGAAACCGGTTTGGCTCAGTGGATAGAGCGTCGGCCTGCGGACTGAAGGGTCCCAGGTTCGATTCCGGTCAGGGGCATGTGCCTGGGTTGCGGGCACGTCCCCAGTGGGAGATGTGCAGGAGGAGGCTGATCGATGTTTCTCTCCCATCGATGTTTCTGGCTCTCTATCTCTCTCCCTTCCTCTCTGTAGAAAATCAGTAAAATATATTTTAAAAAAACAAACACACTTTACCCGAAAAAGAAACTAAAGATGTATTTACTTACAAAACATAACGCTTTGGTAGCTTAAGATGGCCTCTTGTCCCTTTTCTTTCAGTTTGGGTATTTGCATACAATACAGTTAGGCAGAGCTTTCCCAGTAAGGTATTCCCAAACAGTGTAATATAAGTATGCATTTCAAGCTTCCATAAATAGGACTTACTTATTGTTTTTTAATTATCTACATCTCAAATTTCATATATTTAGATTATAAAAAACAATAAAATAAAGCACATAGTTACAACCAAACCACAATTTATAAAGCTGGGATTAATTTTTACCAATTCATGGGAGCTCATGATACTAAGGATAGAATTTTAAAAACTTGCTAAGCTATATATACAAAGATGTTCACTACAGCTTTGTTTAGAATAGGTTAAAAAGTAGAGTTAAACTGAATTCTCAAAAGAGGAATGAATAAATAAGTGATTGTATATCCTTACAATGGAATGCAATAAAATAAATGAGGATTTAATTAATATGTCGAATTTAATGAACAAAATAAAGTAATGAACAAAATGGGGAAAAAAGCAGGTTGACAAACTATAGGGACAATATAATCCCACTTTTGTGAGAAAAATAATTCTATGGAGAATACACCTAATTATTAATACTGAGAATTTCAGGGGTGAGCATGAGATACTTTAATTTTCTATATTACAGATTTTTGTATTACTTTTGATAATCAGAAAACACACATAATAAATATTTTTATTGCTTTTAATACTCATCCAAGGATATATTTCCTTTGATTTTTTAGAGAAAGTAGAAGGAAGGGAAGGAAGGAAAGACGGAGGGGGGGGAGACACACACACACACACACACACGCAATCCTCAGTTCTTTAAATGTACTGAGCTCTTAGTCACCTCAGAGCCTTTGCATGTGTGGTTATTTCTGCCTAGAACACTCCTCCCCTAGCTAATTTCTACTCTTCTTTAAGTTTCAGACCAAATAGCTCTCTCTCAAAGAAGCTCTCCCTGATGCTTTAGAACAGGCTTTCCTATTATATAGTCGTACAGTACCCCTTACATTTCTTTTATAGCAATTACTATAGATTTATCTGTGTAACTACATGTTCACTGTCTGTTTCTCCTATTGAACCTGGAAGCCTTATGAGGGCAGTGATTAAGATTGTCTTCTTTAAAA